GTGGGTAAGTTCTCTTTTATCACAGAATAGTAAAAACCTAAATAAATAAATGCAACTCACCAATCTCTCTGACATGGGTGTCTTGTCATCCTCTGGTAGATGCTGCTCCAAAGCCAGAACAATGCAATTGGCTATGATTGTCGCTAAAATCATGTATTCAAATGGAGTAGGGCCAATAGTTAAAGAAGAAACTAGCTGACACAAGGAGAATTTCAGCAAGAAGAATAATCCCATGTATTCTTATTACACGTCTACAGATGTTGATCATTCAAGTGGCATTGGTGTCTCCTGGAAACCCTCAGCCAGGTTCTCTCTGAATCATACCTCAGGCCCTTCTAGGGGTGTCTTCGGGAGGTTTTAAGAAATCAATTCCCTTCTTTGGGAACCAGTGATTTAGATTTTGTCACACAAAATCCCTCTATAAATTCTGGGTTTCTCGTCTTCTTTTTCCAAAAGCAAATAGGAAGTTTTGATTTTAAAAAAGACGGTGACAATATAAAGTGCCCCCCAAGAGACAGTAAAATGGGATGTCCCCCGCTGAATTATGGGTTAGTAATTCTCTGGCATTTAAATCTAAGCATGTTATGTAAATAAGTAAATGACGGGTTAGGGAACTTAGATTTCAAGCCTTCTCTCTAGGTCTGAAACAGAGGCGTAGCGGGCACCCTCCGTACCCTCCGACCAGAGGGGGCCCCGCAAGGAAGGGGGCCCCTAAAAGTAGCAAAATAAATACCACATTCTAGTTTCTGCGTTGTAAGGGGCCCCGCCCGGACATATGTTCAGAGGGGGCCACCGTTCGGAGGGGGCCACGTTCTTTGTTGCTACGGCCCTGGTCTGAAATATGAATTACTGACGGATTGCCATGCCAGATCAAAGTTATTCAGTGCCTGATAGGTGTGAAGGGAAACCAGCTTCACAGGCTAGTAAAGCCAGCTGGAAATACTGTACCTCTGCCTTTCTCTCTCTCTCTTTCTCTTCTCACCTGCACATGAGCAAACCCTTGGCTGACTCCAGCACTGAAGAGTAGCTCAGAGTGGTGGACTTGCAGATACAGACTAACCCAGCTGCTACTCTGAAACCTGTCAGAGTGGTGGGTAACACTTCTCCAGCACCGCGGAGAGCTCCCCTGGGCAAGGACAGCGCCTGGTCTACCCCTGGCAGTTTCACCACAAGCCAGTCCTTTCATGGAGCAGGCTACTTGAATCACTCCAGAGAGCATCCTTGGCAAGTACCATACATTGAACTCGTCTCTGGCCTGAGCTGGAACTTCCCCAAGGAAAGTGGGGTTTGCGGACATTCTGTAGCTCTGCTTTTCCTGCCGACTCTGGGGTTTCTATAGTGTGTACGTTCCCTTTCCTTAGTGGTAAAGGAGAAGGAGCGGGAGGTGGCGAGACTGCCCCTGGGGCTTTTGCTGCTTGTTTATTCCAGGCTGGATTGCAGCCCCCATCCCTGTGTTTCCTAACATTAACTGAAAGATCACTGTGGGGAACGTCTATTCCCCAAACCAGCCCATTCCCCTCCCACCAGCCACCCTTGGAGTTCAAGCTGGGGCGGTCTGAATGGGAGCTGGGCTCCTGGCAAGTGCAAGGGTTGCTAGGAGGCAGAGAGGAGGCCTTGCTGCCGCTAGCCAAGGATTAATAGGTGTGTGATTTCAGATGAAATGAAAACAACAGGCTCCCCGGAGATTCCCCAGTGCAATGCATTCCTGCTGGTGCACATCAGCCACTGCACACACGCACCCTGGCAACCTAAACCTCAAAGGAAGAGTCGGGCTCCCTTTGCCAAGCATTTAGCTCCCCACCGCATGCATCATACCAGAAGCAGAATCCCCCTTCCCAGCGAGGTCTCTGCAGATCACTTGCTCAGGGAGCTGGTTCTGGGATGAAAAGCATCTGCCCCTTCCTCAGTACAACCACGGACTGCCTCTTCGCGTCCTGCCTCACTCTGCCACTGAGCATTTCAAAAGCAAACCAAACCCCAAGCCCAGGCGCTCCGGATTCCGGGTATTCCAAGCGTGAGGGCTAACGTCAGTTCTCATTGGAACAGCCTGGCCAAGGTGGGGTGCTAAAAACAGGCTGCAACAATTGTGTATTGGTGAGATGTCAGTCAGGAGACCTTGACTATTGCTGGCCCTAGCACTAGCTTAAACGCCAAGGTGTCACCATTTTACCTCACAGTGGCCCTCCTGCAGAGAGAGAGAGAGAGAGAAAGGCTAAAATATTAAAATAAGAACCATAATTTACCCTCAGATCCCTTTGCACGGCTCTAAATAGCATGAAATGTGCGTGCATAATACACACACACACACAAAGACAAATACATGTATTTCACACCCCTATAACACCCCCATTTATTATATTCAAACACTACCACCCCGATATTACAAACAAGTTCTATTACAGGTACACCCCCCCCCATACACACAGCTCTAGACTGGGCACACACCGCAGTTATATGCTCCCTAGATCCCACACCTCTGTATTACACACAGACACACCCACACACCCCAAGCTTTTATGACCCCCAGACTCACCCCGCCCTGTTTGATCCCTCCCCCCCACACACACACCCCTCCCCAAAAGGATATGGCCATTCGGTTATCCTCTTGGCGTATTTCCGAATAACGTTATCCTCGCTGAAGATGAAGAGGGATCTGTTGACGGTGAAGCAGTTCTGTTTGACGGGGATGGGGTTGTAGAGAGCCATCGTCCGGGCTCGCTGGGCCATCGACTGCTTGTACATCCTTTGGCCGGGTGGAGGGCCACCTTGCCGGCTGCTCCCTCGTCCAGCCCCGGCCGGACCGCCGCCTCCATAGCGGGTGGGCAGATCATCTCCGAAGCGAGCCATTCGCGCAACGCGCAGAGCCGGGCGCTACACTCCACACTGGCAGCCGAGGCAGGGGGAAGACGCATCCCAGCACCCAGGACTCTCCCTCCTGGGGCCGCGCTGCTGGGAGCGGGGCGGCTCTGCTCCTCCGGTTGCAGCTGGGGAGGGGAAGCAGCAGAGGGAACGGTAGGGACCGGCCGGTCCAGCCAGCCACGCCGCGCTCCCCACCCGGCGGAAGGGAGTGGAGAGGGCTGCGCTCAACTTCCCACCCAGGTGCCTTCCCTCCAGCCCAGCCTCATGCTTCTCCCGATCCAGGCGGCTCCCCCGGGGGAGGGCGATGGCTCTCCGGGCTGGGGTGGGGGGCAGGAATCCGAGCTCTCGTCCTCCTTCCCCTTCCTCTCCTCCGGCCTTCTCCCCCTTCCTCCCCGGGCGGCCGGAGCTCTCCTCCCCTCCGGCGGTGGCCAGGGCAGGCAGCCAGAGCGCGGCGCCGGAGAGACTCCCTGAGTCACCGGCAGCTCGAATGGAAACGCTCAGAGTAACCAGTTTGTGGAACCTCAGCCCCCTATAAGAGCCCGGCCCGGTGACTCCCCTCAGCCAATCAGCTGCGGCAGCTCCACCCAGGCCAACACAACCCCTGGAGAGAGCGAGAACCAAGATTTCCTTCCCCCCGGCTTCATTGCCAAGCCCTGGCAGAGTCCTGGATGCATAGCAAGGGGGTGGGAAGGGCCATTCGCTCCCCCCCCCCACACACACCCCCTGCCCATCCGCACCCCAGTGATGGGGGGGTGCAAAGCGGGGTGGGGGACTTGGATCCATGCCATAGAGATGCCCCAATACATGGTTAAGTTTCCCCCTCCCCACCCTCCACCCTGACACGATGCCAGAGTCTGAGGACACACTAGGTTGGGCAAGGAGTTAGCAGCCCTGGCCGCCTCCCCCAGGCTGGGGGGGGAGGCGAGGGGCGGTGGTGAGGCTGAAGGGGGGCTAGCTAGAAGTTTGGGGGGGGCAGAACTGAGAAGCAGGTGGCCCCAGGCGCGTGCGCGCCCCGCCAGCTGTGAGCTGTCCAGCTTCTGCAAGGCTCGCCCCGAGCGGGGCAGGGGGGGCTTGGGGAGCCGCCCCGCCTGGGTCACACGCGCCTGGCTTCAGCTGGAGGAGTTTGGCCACACACAGGGGCAAACGCCAGATTGGAGAAATCGGAGTCATCGCACACAAGGGCTGGACGGATCCTGTTGGACTAGTGAAGCGTTTGCAGAGCCCGCTGGGACGTTATGAACTCAGCCGTACCGGGGAGCTGGTCCTGTACGGATTGGTATTGGAGGATTAATTGGGGTGTGGGGGGGGGGACTCTTAGATCATCTGGAGCCCAGGGGCCCTAGCCGCAGAAACCCTCCCTGACTTCTAGGGGGAGTTCTGCTTAACCCGAGGGCATGATAGGGCCCCTGGTTTTTCTAACCGGCTTGTTGTTAATAATAAAAACTGGATTGGGATCAGTAGAGGGGGTGGGTTGTGTGTGTGTGTACACATCTCTCTGTACCTGGGCATTAACAGACACCTATCTGAACATGTCCAACTGTTCCACTCTGGAGAACTCGCCTTCCTTCCCATGGGCGTGAACCCTGGCTACCATTAACCCTGTATTTACCAATGAAATCCTTTAATCCTGTTTATTTCAACACCCTCTTTTATTCCCTTTCACTACAGGTCATGAAGCTAACCCCTTATTCCTGCAACTCCTCATCAAATGCTGCTGTATTAGGTAGCTGGGGTGGATTCCCTTCTTTTACAGCTAGACTAAGCTGACATGACTAGTCACTCTAAAAATGTACCCTCCAGAGAAGTCAGTCAAGACATTTTCACTTCTCCCACAAAAGGAAATCCTGGATTCATCTCATTCTGAGCAGCTAATGTATTTTTGCCTTAGTCATCCAAGCTGTCTCAGTTCAAAACCAACCCACCATTTAGGCAAGGCTGCGACAATCACATCTGCTGGGGACAGAAGTGTATTCATAAATAGGGTCAGCTGCTGTCTGCTAACATGGGACTTTAAAGAAGAAGGCTTCTTCCACAGGGCTTTGGAATTAGATGGGCTTTCTTGTATACGAAGCCTGCGTAATCATTACAGGCAATATATTGTTTTAGAGCCAGGGTGAAAGAGTATTGACATTTAAATCAAGGGAACACAGAAACAAATAATAATGGCGGAATGACATCATGTCCTGCCTCGGTGATAAGACAAACATGGAACCATCCTGACACATCCACGTCATCCTGGTTTCTAAGGTTTATAGGGAGAATGCTGATAAAGGAGCTTCCAGTGTAGAGACCTACAGGGAATGAATGAATTGGCAGTCTGCTGGTAGATGGAATATAAAAATGGTTTCCCAACACCCACAATCCAGGCCAGGGATTTTCAAAAGTGTCCAGCGCGCTGGGTGCTGGGCTCTTTGGAAAATCTTGTCCTCATTGTGCACGCAGAAAATATGGTCCTATGTTCTATCCGCTCAGTCTCCCAGTAGCCCCAACTGTGGGTACCGGCCCCTTAAAAAAATCTGACCCCACTCTCTTTTGAAATCATAGTTGAGCCTGCGGATAACTGCAAGGTAATGTTCCTTGACAAAAATAGCCTCAGGTCATATGTCCTTATGGGCTTGATATTTGCAAGAGCCTCAGAGGGGAAAAAAAATCTTGGGAGTCAACCCAGATAGCTCGAAAATATAAATAAATAAATAATACTTAGATAGACCTGACATCTTCAAAATGCAAGACATCTTACTGATTGCCTGGCAGGGAATTATTATCCCCATTGTACATATGGAAAAGTCAGGGCTCAGGGTGGTTATGGGTTGAGCTGGTTGGGAAATTTCTCTCCCTGGAGAAATTTTTTTTGACAAAAACCATTTTTTTTTTCATTTTTATTAAATGTTTTCCACACAAAAAATCATTTGAATTTAAAAACTAAAACACTCCAAAGTGGAATTTTTATTATTATGGTAACTGCAAGTTTGGGGGGTTCTCCTGTTCTGGTTTTGGTTGCTCAAAGCTTGAACCTTGATGTTGTTTTCATGTTTTCCAGTGAAAACCCACTGACATTTTTTATGAACAATTTCTTTTCCCTCTCCCATTTTTGGATGAAAAATCTTTTTATAGACAATATTTCAACCAGCTTTGGGTATGTGGTGCTTTCTAGAGGTGCTCCAGCTCCTGACGCCTTCCCCTGAGGAAGTGGTGGATGCTCAGCCGCTCTGAAGAACCCTGCCTGAAGGATCTTATCCACGATGATAGTGCAAATCAACTCAGAGCCAGAATTAGAGTTCCAAAGTTCCTGTCTCCCAGTTCTGTGTGGCTCCGTTAGACCCTGCTGCCTCTCTCCATGAGGAAGTCAGCTGTGGAGCTGCAGTTAATAATACGTTAAAAGGGATGCTTGGGTACATTCATAATGACTAGAAAATAATGCAAACATGTTGTAATGACATTAAACTAATACCCAGATATTATATTGTACTTTTCGTAAGTAGATCTCGTAGCACTTTGCAAAGTACATCAATATTATTTCCATTTAACAGATGGGGAAATTGAGGTACAGAGAAGGACAGAACTTGCCCCAGGTCATTCAGGAGGCCCATAGTAAATCCAGGAATCAAATCTTGGACTCAGATCTCCCAGGCCAAGTATGCTAGCGATGAGGCCACACTACCACCTCCGCTATGCCCTTCTCTGCAGCTGCATGATCTGTTTTGTTAGACCTCGGGAAAGATCAAGCTGAGAGTCTAAAGATCCAAAAGGCCAGCAAAGCTGTCTGGAGACATGGAGGGACTTAAGTACAAGAGACAGATTGCAAAAGATAGGATTATTTAGCCTTGAAAAGGGAAACAAGGAGATTTAGCTTGGGTACATAAGATTATGGAAAGAACAGTAAAAGAATATTCTTACGTTTTACCTGACCAAGGGGTCACTCAAGGAAATGAATGGAGAGCAAATTTCAAGCCAGTACGGAAATATTTAAAACACTCTGGAATCTACCACTGCAAGAGGACAAAGCATTAAATACTTTGTTCTAAAAACAGACTGGATCATTTGATGAATAATGTTTTACAGTTACCAATGTGAAGATGATGGTGCTTCTCATATTTTTATGGCACCAGCCTATTGCCTCTGCCATCAGAGAGGAATTCTTTCTGCCCTCCCCCCATCCTCCACCTGGAGCAACATTGCACCATCAACGAGGGGGTTCGTCTTCCTCTGAAGTACCAAGCATTGGCTAGTGCCTGAGGCAGGACAGTGGGCTTGGGGGAGCAATATTTGGATCCAGAATGGCACAGCCCACATTCCGATGGCAAGCTAAAGAGAATGACAAAGTTACAGACATTTGGCTATAAAGGGGCTGCTGTCCCTCTTTAGTGGGATGGGATTCTTATGGGACACACTGGACACAACTCTAGGGCTTTTTGGTTCAATCATGTGGAAGCACCATAGGTCACCTGCAGCTTGATACGCCCCAGAGGCCTGAGCTTGGTCTTCTGCCTGGAAGCCAAGGGGCTGGGAAAGACACCACACCAACATCCTGTTATGGCTGGTCACCAAGATTGTAGTCTAGCCAGTAGGTCTTTGCAGCGATGGTGGCAGAAAGGCGATAGGGAAGAGACTAAATGAAAACTGAAGGAAGGGCCATTAAATTCCAAAGACTCCCATGAGGACTGGCCCACAACTTAAATGACTGCTCATAGGGAAGGGGAAAGTTCCTTGGCATACACCCTGCTTGGATTCAGATGAGGCCCTGGGAAGGCCATAACTGAGCATATTATTTGGCACTTCATTTAAGTGCCATGACCACCACCCCCAAAATTGTGCACCACCTAAGGATGGAACACCTTTATTCCAGTCTACCAGCAGCTGTGGAGCCAAGATGTGACCTCAGATATGGATCATCCATGGGAGAGCTGCTAAAAACCTCAGCATTTCTGAAGACCAAGCCAATAATGCTCTCTAGGTCAAAGCCAACACCTCACATTCAGGACCCGGTG